AAGGACGTTGGATACACAGCAATTACAAGTACAAGATGCAGGACACTGCAGACTTCTCCTTCTTGAACACAAATCGGGAGCACGCAGGTACATATTGGTGTCAGTACCGAGTGCCTTGGTCAGCAGTGGAATCAGAGAAGAGTGATCCTGTGGAGCTGGTGCTGACAGGTGAGGGCACTGGGGACAGCAGATGGCTCTGCTTGCTCCCAACAGGACCGTGTCCCACTGCTGTCCCTTCCCTCATGCAGATCGCAGTTTCCCCCCACCCAGCATTTCCCTGAGCCCTGAGGAATGTGTGGAGACAGGGACCAATGTCACCATCCAGTGCTGGAACAAGGACTATGGGGCCGCCTTCCTCCTGCACAAGGATGGGTGCTCATCCCCCATCCAATGCCAGGACCTTGATGTGGTGGGCACAGCCACCTTCACCATCTTTGGGGTGACCCCAGCTGACAGCGGCACCTACAGGTGCTCCTACCGCCCCTGGGGTTACCCCTTTCTGTCCTCACCCCTTGGGAGTAATGTGACTCTGGAGGTGACAACCACACCTGCACCCCCAGGTAAGTCTGAGCACCCCATTTGCGTGCCCTCCCTGCCACGGATGGGTGGCTGTGTTGCTGCATCCGGGCTGAATAGGGCTTGTGGCTGGCAGTAGAGACACCCAAACACCCGGACGCCACAGGTGCTGAGGAGCAGTCCCGTGCCAATCTGGTGCTGGCACTGCTGAGGGGCTTTGTGGCTACACTCGTCGTTGGCCTTGCAGTTTTCTTCATCGATGCCCGCAGCCTCTGGATGCAGAGAGATGAGAACTGTGGTGAGGAAGCTTTTAAATGTCTACCATTCCCTCCTGATTCCCCCGGTGTCCCCTGACTGCACATCTATCCCTTACAGATCCTCCCATGTGTCCCTTGCCTGCTCTTTAATCCCCTATAGATTCCCTTTAGGGCTCCTTGAGCATGGTTCATGACCTCCCCATAACTCCCACCTTCTCCAGTTGCTGACACAGAAACCCCCCCGGAATGCAGAGGCCGTGCAGTTCCAGGTCAGTGTCTG